ATGAATTCGTTTAATATGGTTCTGCTGCAAAAAAAAAAAAAAAAAAAAAATCCATGCCAGATATGAAGAAGAACTTACAAAGTAAGAAGCCAATGCAAGGATGAGGCCGCTAAGGAACAAAGAGAGTTCGTTAGTTCCAAGCCACTCCATAACAGAGAAGAGGGTGAAGAGAGAGATGAAAGAAATGGATTGAGCATGAGAAGATGGCATCCCAGGATCAGAACGCAGTGTTGCAACAGGTCTCTCCTGGTTAAGGATACGCTTGAGAGCTACGGAAAGCGCAGAATTGGAAACGGAGCCAATGACAGCCCACAAGGCTGCACCATCATGTCGTAGAAGCAGAACCGATCCAAACAGAGCTGCAACAACCCATTTGCTCTGCCAAAATTTTACAGTAATTTATCAAACAAAAAGAAACAGTTTTTCAATTGTAGAGAGCATTACATCAAACAGTTTGGGTAGATGAGAGAATTAGAAGACCAACCAGACGATTAGCTACGGCGTTGATCCCATCGCCATCATCGTTGGATGGATTATTCATAAAACCTTCTTGCTCAAACGCCTGAAACCGTTGTTCTTCGCCGCCCCCGTCTCTCCAAGCATGGGTTTTGACTAAATCAGCCATAGTAGTTTTAGGAGAGCAGAATCTCCTCCGATTCAAAGGGAAGATTGAGCTCCAACTTCTATATCGAGAGTAAGGACCCAAATAGTAGAAACTGCAGCAGGTACTGGGTTTGTGGAAGAGAGCAAGAGATGATGATGCTGCTGCTGCCATATCCAAATGTGAAAAGAAAAAAAATCCACCTTAAATGTCAACTCGAGCTATACACTAAGGATCACATCGTAAAGACGAACCAGGAACGCTTTTTTCAGAAATACAACTACGGTTATGTCAGCTTTCAAGCCCATTAGTATGATCGTTTATGGCATTGTAAAGCCCATAGCATTACTCGTAGTCATGGGTCTCTTTCGAAAAAAGTATTGAAAAGCTTAAATGGGTTTATAAATAGTAGCGGCCCAATAAACGACGTCAACAACACTCTCGTTCGTCCTCTTTAGACTGAAAATAAAAATCTTATACAATAAAGTAGGCTTCTCTCCCTTCTCATGCATCCACATCAGCATTTGTGAGGGGGGCAAAAAAAGCCATGTCAGCAATAACCTAAACCAAATAAACCGAACAAAATTTATCTCTTCCCCATTTCGGTTTCAATTGGTTTTCTGTTTGTCGGTTTTGTGGTTGTTGTTGGGCTGGCTATTTTGTGTGGTAGAAGCCCAAATTTTTTTTAAGTTTTTGTTGTTAAAACAGAAACACATCAAATAATGGCAAAAATCATCTATAATACCAAATTAAAGAAATTTGAAGTTTTTGCGTTCAATACCACGTTACAGACACATTTATTTAGATATTTCAGATAATGATAATAAATACCTAAAAAGGTAAATCAAACCCTCAAAATAATTTTAAAATTATTCCACAAATCTATGGCGTCTGCAACAAATACAAACTTATCTAATGTCAAGCTAGCAAACCAAAAAAGGTTTATTCGATACCCACATATAAATTACCTTTCAAATTATATTATAAATATTAAAACCAAGCAAAATCATAAGGAACTCCGATCGGTTAATTTTTAATAACCATAAATTACACATCAAACCACTCAGCATACATGCAACGGTACAACATAAATAATAACAATCAAACCGCAAAGAAATTCAACGCAAAATTATGGCTTCCAATAATTATATTTAAAAACGTAAATGACGTTACAATCAACACCGTGTCCAACGTCCTATATAAACAAGTGCACAACACAAATAAACTAATAAGGACAGCGTTAGAATAAAAAAAAAAAAAACCTCGATCATTTTCCGATTAGTTTCCATGAATCAAAAACAACATAATACCCTCACCCTTGAATTCATGCCCGAAGACATGCGTCTCCTAATTGTTTCCAAAGTAGGCTATGACTCTTCCACTGACTACTTCAACACAATTATGACATCCAAAAGCCTCAGTTTCAGTTCTGAGAACTTCTTTGTTGCAAAGGATTTCAACCTCTCACCTTTGGTGAAGAAACTTGCTCTAGCTCATCGGTAACAAAAGTTGGTGCAAAACTTCCTCAACGCGGACAATGTTGAGGCTCACTATGTTAAAGGCATGCAAGAATTCTTCGAAACTCGAAATCAGTCCCTATGTCTACATCACATCCACATTGCCTCAAATGGTGGTCACCTCCGAGGAAGGTACGTTTACGGCGTCCTCCTTATGGCCATCAGCGAAACTGACTTAGGGGCTAAAAACATTAACAAACTCACTGATGAGCAAGGTATTCCAGTACTAAAAGATTGTATGGCGATTTTTCATCAATCTTTTGAGCACCTCCAATTTCACATGAAGGATATATGTCTTACCTCACTAAAGAAGATGTGGCCACCCCAGAACTGCCATCCTCAACAGGGGACAGAGATCACGGTTTGCTCCAACTGTTTCCACTTCTTTTTGGTAACCGAGTTCTACAAAAGGATAATGGACTTCGGTGATCACCTTAACTAAAAGAAGGCCTATACGGGAAACGTGCTTACCGTTAACATGATGAACGTACTCCTTCCACTTTTGATTTATTTGTTTTGTTTGTCAGTGTAAGTTGAACATTTATGTTCCTCTTCAATTCCTTCCAAAGGTTCTGTTTAATTTTGCTTTTAAAATAAATTGTTAGACTTTGTTTTCAAATAAATTTTTATGAAAAATATTCTCATAGCTATTATCTCTGATCCTGAAAAAAAATAAAACTTGTGAAACAAAAAAATAACATCTATGACTCAAGAATTTTAAAATAATTTCCAAATGTCCACCATTTAACTCTAATGCCATCACATTGATATCATAATAGACCATTCTCATAAACAAAACACAATAAAAATATTACATTACAAACCAAGAAATAATTTATTTTAAATAATACAAATATCCGATAATCCGCGCGCAGCGCGGACGGACCACTAGTATATATATAAAATCATAAAACAAATCGTAATTGGTCAACGCTTGCCGGCGATATGCCAAACAAGTACAACTTTACGTAGCCTTACATATTCACCTTACGAAGTTACCAATTTAACCCTCTCTCCTTTCTCACATGGCCTCGCCTCTATAAGTAATAGAAGCAGTCGGAGCTTAAAAAAATCAAACAGAAGACGCGTCGTGCACCTCACCTCTCTCTCTCACATTTTCTTCTGATCCCATCTGAAGACAAAAGTGTCCAGATCCGAAGCTATTATGGCCACTCCTAATGGCAACGATTCTCACATTGCGTCGTCGGAGCCAAGGAAGGTTGCATTGGTCACAGGAATCACCGGGCAGGACGGATCATACCTGACCGAGTTCCTCCTCGGAAAAGGCTACCAAGTCCACGGCCTGATCCGACGTTCCTCAAACTACAACACGCAGCGAATCAACCATATCTACGTGGATCCCCACAATGCCAACAAAGCTCTCATGAAGCTCCACTACGCAGATCTCTCTGATGCCTCCTCCCTCCGCCGTTGGCTCGACGTTATCAAGCCTGACGAGGTCTACAACCTTGCTGCTCAGTCCCACGTCGCCGTCTCCTTCGAGATCCCTGACTACACTGCTGACGTCGTCGCTACTGGAGCTCTCCGCCTCCTTGAGGCTGTCAGGTCTCACATGGCTGACAATGGCCGCACCATCAAGTACTACCAGGCCGGATCCTCCGAGATGTTCGGCTCAACTCCTCCTCCCCAATCTGAGACCACTCCCTTTCACCCCAGATCTCCCTATGCTGCCTCCAAAGTCGCCGCTCACTGGTACACCGTCAATTACCGTGAAGCATACGGCTTGTACGCCTGCAACGGGATCCTGTTCAACCACGAGTCACCCCGCAGAGGTGAGAACTTTGTGACTCGGAAGATAACTAGGGCCTTGGGGAGGATCAAGGTAGGGCTGCAGACCAAGCTCTTCTTGGGAAACATACAGGCGTCAAGAGACTGGGGGTTCGCGGGGGACTACGTGGAGGCAATGTGGCTGATGCTGCAGCAGGAGACACCAGATGACTACGTGGTGGCAACTGAGGAGTCACACACCGTCGAGGAGTTTCTGGAGGTGTCCTTCGGGTACCTCGGTCTCAACTGGAAAGACTACGTGGAGATCGACAAGAGGTACTTCAGGCCAACGGAGGTTGACAATCTGAAAGGAGATGCCAGCAAGGCAAAGGAGTTGTTGAAGTGGAAGCCCAAGGTTGGGTTCGAGCAGCTGGTGAAGATGATGGTGGATGAAGATCTCGAGATGGCTAAGAGGGAGAAAGTGCTCGTCGATGCTGGTTACATTGACGCTAAGCAGCAACCTTAATTCTCCAAAGCATCTGCCTGCCTGCCTGCCCAAAAAAATGAGTCTTATCATTTATGTGTTTTTACTTTTCAAGTTTTTCTGTTTGTTGTTTACTATCATTCTTGTTGTTTAAAGTTGCAAATCATCATTTACTGTGGATTTTGTATTAAAGGCACACAAAGCGAATAACATATATGATTTTCTTTTTACAATGGCTTCCTATTGTCCACGAGCGATTAAGCAACTCAGAAAACAAACTAAAGAAAAAGTAGTGTAAGCATCAAAATGACAGAGAAGAGCAAACAATAGCATCATGGATTCATGATTAAAGAGTATTGACTATCATGATTCTTGTTTACAAAGACAGAGTCGTAGCGTTTATACTCACCTGAGAATCAGGTTCCTCTGAGATAATATATGGCAGTTGCTTATCACATCGGTCAACCTTGCTTTAAGCTCCACCTGAAACACATGAACTAAATATACGTCTACCACCAAATCCATACAGTGAATAGTATCGTTCTGAGATTGTCTCTGATAAATGAGTAATCAACTTTAGCTCATTTTATTCCATAGTACTACAATGCAATACCGTATTATGTATATCAAAAAAAAAAAAAATGAATAAAGACGAGTTAAATCAAAGCTTAAAGACGACGGTCCTATCTCGTTGGAGGTTGTTTCAGCAATTTCAGAACATTTTCGTAGACGATGAATGTGATGGAAGAAGCAGGCACATTTTTCAATAGATTAGCGGTTAGTCCTCTATAGAAACCTCTGAAACCCTCGAATCTGCACATGAAGAAAGATTTATTTAATCCCAAAAAGGAAGACATCATATGTATCTTCAGATACAATCAAAAGGCCAAGAAGAATAAATAAGAATGGTCTCCAACCTCGCGGTTTCTCTTATGACATGTAAGCTGTCTATATATCTTGGGATTCCGTTAGTACTAGGTCTTTGCTGAACAAAACAACAAAGGAATGTTTATGACAATCACACCTCACTCAAATATTGGTAGAGATAAGAAGAAGGTTGAAGCAATTTACCTGTAATCGTGCTCTAATAACTTGAAATGGATATGTAAGAAGAACTGCTGCGACTTTGGAGGATCCGCCTAGTGCAGCATAATCAACCGAGTTCTACATAAAAAGAAAGATTATTGGTCCTACATTGCCTAGAAATCACAATGTAGGAGGGTGTGAAGAAGAAGAAGAAGAAGAACTGTGTTGTACCAATAAATTGTCAGCTGTGGATTCGGAATTTCTTCTCTTCTCTTTCGTATCAACAATGACTTTACGGAGTTCCTCATACGCGGTGAATTGAATAGCACCATGAGAAACCTGCTGAAGAAACTAAATCAGGATCAAAAGCATCCAAAAAAAAAAATGAAAGGATTTATAAACCACTCAATCTCTAAGGTCTTTGGATGGTATGGTAGGTTCATGATCAGATAGGAGAGGAGAAAAACAAAGGATAGTGACTAACCAGTACAAGACCGGGAACAATACCCTTGTAGAGAGCCCTGGGTCCTTCCTCTTTCATTATTGTTCTAAAGGCATCTGAAAATACACAAAGAAAATTCAGAAAAGAAGAGTAGAAGAAAGAAAAGTGTAATGTGAAGACCTAATAGGCCGGAGTAGGGTGGGGTTTGATGAAGAAGAGGTGTCTGAAGCTGTAGTCTAGTTTTGACAAGCCAAATAGGATTTGTGCATAGGCAGACCTGAAAGTATGATAAGATGATTGAGATAGAAGAGATGTTTGAAAAAGGTGGTTAGTTAAAAACGAACCAAGGCACCAGCTTCAGCAGCAGAAGCAAGGTGAAGAGGAGGGGTGAGTTTCTCATCGTGGCTGCCTCTACTAGCGTACCTCTGTTTGGCTCTTCCGTAACTAGAGGGAGAGATGAGAGATTAATAATGTATTTATTTCAGTTCATTTAAACAAGATCATAAGAGGAAAAGAGAGAGAGAGGGGCTGACAAGAAGAAGTATAAGCTCCAGGAAAGAGTGGAACCAATGACAGCAGGGAAGAAACCTGCATAAAGTCCTCTCAATCCCTAATAAACCACCAAATGTTAGCTTTGGATACAAGATTGCATAAGGGAGTTTGTTGTCTTAAAACCTCGAGACGGGCAATGGTGAAGAGAGCGTGAGCAGTGTTCTTGTACGTCGGGAGACTAATCATCCCTCTCCCATCGTTCACTGTTTCGATCAAAAGTTAAACCAAAACTCTTTCAAACTAAAAAATCAACTTCCTATCAGTTCACAGATAATCAACTCAGACCTTGGAATCTTGTACGGACAACATCAAGAGGGTGCATTGCAGCCACCGTTGCGAATCCTGCCACGCCTCCCGCTGTCGCATTTTCCCACTGCCATGCCCCCACCATCAACTAATAGTCAATTAGGTGGTGCAATCGAACTGAACGCGATTGGGATACAGAGTCGAAAGGAAGAGCTGATCCCCGAGTTGAGTTGAGTTCCCGTCTCTCAGATTTGTGTCGATCGTCACTGTTCTTTTAAGGCCCATACTGAAAATACTTTCCGAGGCCCAATTCCTCAAACGAACCATTACAATTCCGTCCTTGCATTTATTATTTTTTCCACATATCATTCCAATACTTTTACATTGATTAAAATCATTAAATAATGATCAATGCACGTTGAAAATTTAAATACAAACACCAAATAAAATACCATCAAGTTCACACCAACAAAATCATCAGATTTAGTAAATACACACACGTTCACACAAACCAAAACCAAAAGTAATCCATATGCATGACAAGTAATTTTACGTATAAGGAAGGAAGGGTTTGATTAATAAGCTGCATGGTTAACCCTCCTACAGATTCTCCTGATCTCTCCCCTCGCCCCCGTCAATGGAGATATATTCCCCATCTTCACCATCGATTTCGCAAACTGCTCGAAGAAGGCCACTTGATTCTCCGCATAGAGCTTCACCAGCTCCTTCGACTGTTGTCCGTGAACAAAACCTCATCAGAGCTCAGTAGCCCTTTGTACATTATCAGGTTCTTGAAGTAGTGGTTGTCGAACTTGAACTGCGTCACCATGTCCAGGGCGAATAGGTTTTGGTCACCCCCGGATCTAGGACACTGCTTACGCAATACGGAGGCGTAGTACTGGTCAAGTGTTAGATCAGGCTTGCCGTTACCAGACTGGTTGTATAACCTCTGCCTGAAGCTTGTGCACCTCGAGTTTCCTATCGTGTGACTTCCTGCATATCATATACATTAAAAACGTTATACAAGCCCTTTTAAAAAATATTACCATTCAGTTCAATTCAAATATATGTGGGTCGATTAATTTAGGTACGTTATTATAATGTGTTGTGTGTATATGTATATATATACCAGAGAGGGAGACAAGATCGACGAGATTAAGGCCTTGACGCTTGAACTTAGTGAGGATAGTTTGAAAAGTGTTGTTGGGAGCAGGAATATCATTGTTTGAACCACTCAAGCTTGCTCCTCTCGCGTCTCTTCTTCCTAGAGGTACTTCCCAACTCGGTCCACCTGTCTATATAGACCATGTGTTTATTTTTTAATGATATATATCAATTAGATACTAATTTGTTATGCTAATTATGAATAAGATGACTCACAATTACGGTTGAGTCTCTAGCGGCTAGAGCCAAGATATCTGCGCAAGAAACAGTTTCGGGACACTCTTGTTCCAAGGCATATTTGATTTCTTCGATGAGCTCGAAACCGCGGGCTGAGTTTCGGTTAGGGTTTGATCTTTTCTCGCTGATTATGGTTCCACTGCTATCCAATAGTATTGAAGCATCACATCCCTACAGTATCGAATCACAACGACAAAAATTATGTAAAACTTAATTAATTAAAATATTTATTCCAAAGTTGCCAAGACCTTGACGAAACAATCGTGGAAATGGAGTCTGAGCAAGGAGGCTGGCATGCGAGGATCCTGTGCGTATGCTTTTGCGACAATGGACTGAACAATCTCTTGAGCTTTAGGACACGAATGGTCGTAGAACTGAGGGTAGAGATAGCCGCCACTTCCGTAGGCTTTGGAACACAAACAAAGAGGAGACAAGGCGGTGAGGGAAAGAGCTGCGATAAGAATATTCAGTGATAAAGCCATTTTTTTATATTCTTTTTCTTGACGAGTACGTACTCGATGGAGTTTAACTTGGTGATTTTCTTGGGATACAATGGGTTTCATCATTTATAGACTAGTTTTTGTGGACATTTGAGAAAGACGTTGGAGTTGGTACCTAATTTTAGATATTGGGTTAGATGGATACATTATTTTCCAAAGGATTGGTAGAATACAAGATGTTAATTAGAAAATTATCGTATATGATTTAATCATTCGATATTTTAATTAAACTCATATTATGATTTTTTTGGGTGTGTTCTGTATATTTAATGAAAAGAGCTTTGATTACATGAAGATAGAAAAAAATACATGATAGGTAAAGATAACCGAAGGTAATTAAAAATAAAAGTCATAATTCTGGTGAAATCTTATTTTCAATGGAGAAGATGTTTCTACGGTTTATGATATTAAAACCAGAGAGAACATGAATAATAAGCAAGAAAAGGTATATAGACAGGGTTGACATTGACCAGAACCCAGATACGGTTGCCAGAGTACGACAAAGACAATAGTAAACGGTAGATAATGACAAAACCCATTAATAAACAGCTTCAACTGCTCTCCCTTGCAAAACCAAACAATCTATTTTTTCCTTTTGTTTCCGTGCAACAAAAGCCAACAAATCCCCTATATATTAATTGAGAAACTTTTGAAAAGATGTAACCTCAAGTTTGTAATAATTAAAAAGTAACCTTGCTTAGTTGTCAATCAATTAGCATATCAATTAAACTGACGTGGAAGCTTTAGGTTCAATTGAAATTTGCTAGGGAAACAATAATTACAGACGCATGTAACGCATGTAACCGAGTTTACATTAATATATATCCCACGCATCAAACCGAGTTTACATTATTTTCTTTCCATAAATAAAATCTACGGAATTACCATAAATGACTAATATATATATATATATGACACTTAATGATTGATCCCCTAGATATAATTACTATTTTATTTTCTTTCCATAAATAAAACGTACGGAATTACCATAAATGACTA